AAGGTCTTTCCACACTCCATGCATTGATACGGTTTCTCTCCTGTGTGGATTCTCTTGTGAGTATTAAGATTACCACTCTTCCTAAAACCCTTTCCACATTCCATGCATTGATATGGCTTCTCTCCTGTGTGGATCAAATTGTGGGAATTAAGACTACTGCTACAATTAAAGGTTTTTCCACACTTCATGCATTTATAAGGTCTTTCTCCTGTGTGGATCCTCATGTGGTAATAAAGACTACTGCTGTAAGTAAGGGTCTTTCCACATTCCATGCATTGATATGGCTTCTCTCCTGTGTGGATCAAATTGTGGGAATTAAGACTACTGCTACAATTAAAGGTTTTTCCACACTTCATGCATTTATAAGGCCTTTCTCCTTTGTGATTCCTTTGATGTCTTATAAGTGAAGAATTAAAGGAGAAGGTCTTTCCACACTCCATGCAAGTATTTGGTTTCTCTTCTGAATGTGTCTTTTTATGAGAAAAGAGATGATAGGATTTATTGAACCTCTTTCCACACTCCATGGATTTATATGGTCTTTCTCCATTATTGATCACTGCATGGTTAGGAAGCCGACGGACCCGAGAAAAACCATTTTTAATTCCACTTTGTGATTTCTTTGTTTCATCATTCTTTGGTTGCATCTGATCTTCAAATTTCCTTTCCCCCCATTTCGAATGGATCGATTGACATTCACGCTTGCAATTCTTATTCTCTTGCCCATTAAAGCCTTGGAAAAGAAAAAGGAAAACTGTATATTTTCATTCCTATAGGATTGGATCACAACCCTGAACTAATGTTTGACCTGGGATAATTCCATGGTCCCACAACCTTCTGTAGTGTATTGGACACCATACCCACCCTCAACTTAGGTTAAAAGCAAACTCGGTACACAAATGGGCACATCTCTAAGAAGGGAACATCCCTCTCAGGACTCATGTGGTCTTGGTTATAGCAGCTTAGGACCATCAGGAACCCAATGACTGGGTTCAGGAGGGAATACCGAATCGTGGTTGGCAGAACCTAGCTCGAGAGAGGCCACACCATCCCTGCATGGAGCCTGTTCCCCAGATTCTTGCAAGACCAATAAACTCAAGACCAATAAACTCAATATCTTCTATGAAATGAGTATAGTGTATTTTATGAGCAGAAGGCATTTAAAAAAAATCTTTACGTAAAAAGCCAGGTTATGAAATTTTCCAATTTTTCTTTCAATAAATTTCCTTCTTCCATAAATTCAGTTTGGTCATATGGTTAAGACACCAGGCTAGAAACTGGGTGACTCTGAGTACTAGTTCTGCCATAGGCACGAATGCTGCCTGGGTGACTTTGGACCAAAACTTTCCCAGCTTAACGCATATCACAGGATTGTTTTTCTAGGGAAAACAGCAGTAGGAAGGAACATTGAGTATGTCACTGCGTATATTATTTACAAAAAATAAAGTGCTATAGAGTGCATTTGGAATGTATTCAGACTCCCTTCCCTTTTGTCAATTTTATTACCAGGTAACCTTATTGTAGTTCTATCAGCAGTAAAGACTTTCAAATTTCTAGGTTCTATCTCAAGGGCTAAAAGCGACACTTAACCTCAAAAATGTCATTAAAAAAGCACAACAAAGCATGTTCTTTCTGCACCCACTCAGGAAATTCAAACTGCCCAAGGAGCTGCTGATAGAATTCTAAAGAGGATTTATAGAGTCTGTTATCAGCACTTCTATTACTGTCTGGTTTGGTTCTGCAACCTAATAAGACAGACACAGACTTCAGATGATAATCAGAAGTGCAGAAAAAAAAATTACTGCCAACTTCCTTCCATTGAGGACCTGTACATTGCACGCATCAAAAAGAGAGCCGTGAAAATATTTACAGAACCCTCACATCCTGGATATAAATTGTTTCAACTCCTACCCTCAAAATGACACTATAGAGCACTGCACACCAAGACAACTAGACACAAAGACAGTTTTTTCCCCAAACACAATCACTTTGCTAAACAAATAATTCCCTCAGCACTGTCAAACCATTCACTAAGGCTGCATTACTATTACTATTAGTCGTCTCATCGTTCCTATCACCCATTTCCTCCCACTTATGATTGCAGGACTGTAACTTCGTTGCTTGTATCCTTACAATTTATATTAATATTGATTGCTTCCTGATTGTTTATTTGTACCCTATGACTATCATTAAGTGTTGTACCTTATGATTCTTGATGAATGTATCTTATCTTTTTATGTACACCGAGAGCATATAAACCAAAGACAAATTCTTTGTATGTCCAATCATACTTGGCCAATAAAGAATTCTATTCTATTCTAGTTGTTGAAATTCTTTTTTTCACATTAATCTATGCTCAATACCCCATGCTGACAAAGTGAAAACAGAATTTTAGGAATGTCTGTAAATTTAGTAAAATGAAAAAAATGAAAAATCCCATTGGCATAAGTATTCAGGCTCTTTGCAACAGCACTTGAAATGTAGCTCAGGTACCTCCCATTTCTTATTAGTGTTGCTGACATGTTTCTATGCCATGATTGGAGTTCACCTGTGGTCAATTCAATTGATTGGACATGATTCGGAAAGACACACAGCTCTCCATAGAAGGCCTCACAGCTGACAGTGCATATTGTAGCAGACCAAAAGCCACTAGGTCAAAGGTACTGCCTGCAGAGCTCAGAAACAGGATTATTGCAAAGGAATAGATCTGGGGAAGGCTACCATAAATTTTCTGCTGCACTAAAGGTTCCTAAGAGCAAAATGGACTCTATAATTTTCAAATGGAAGAAGATTGGCCCAACCAGGACTCTTCCAAAAGCTGGTTGTCCAGTCAAAATAAGCAATTGGGATAGAAGGGCAAAACACACAGAAGCTCGCTTGGAGTTTGCAAAAAAGCACCAAAAGGACTCTCAGAGTGTGAGGAACAAGATTCTCTGGTCTGATGAAACCAAGTTTGAACCGTTTGGCCTTACTTTTAAATGTTAAATCTGGAGGAAACCAGGCACCGCTCATCACCTGCCCAATATCACCTCCAACAGTGAAGCGTGGTAGTAGCATCATCATACTGTGGGGGTGTTTCTCAGCATCAGGGATTGGGAGACTGGTCAAGATTGAGGGAAACTGACTGGAGCAAACCACAGGTATATCCTCAATGAAAACCTCTTCCACAGTGCTCAAGTCCTCAAATAGGGCAAACTTTCGAACATGACAAAAATCCTAAGCACACAGCTATCACAACACAAGATGGCTTAGGCACAACTCTGTGAATAGCAATAACAATAGCACTTAGACTTATATACCAGTTCACAGGGCTTTTGCAGCCCTAAGTGGTTTACAGAGTCAGCATATTGCCCCCAACAACCTGTGTCCTCATTTTACTGACCTCCGAAAGATGGAAGGCAGAGTCAACCTTGAGCCTGGTGTGATTCGAACTGCCAAATGACAGCTAGCTGATAGTCAAAAGAAGAAGCCTGAAAAAACTGCATTCTAACCACTGCACCACCACAGCTCACAAATGTCCTAGAGTGGCCCAGCTTGACTTGAACTTTATTTAATATCTCCGGAGGGACCTAAAAATGGCTGTCCACCAACAATCTCCATGCAACCTGACTGAACCTGAGAGGATTTGCAAGCATGGCAAAAAATCTCCCCAATCCAAGTGTGCAAAGCTCGTCGCGTCATACCCAAAAAGACAAGGCTGTAAGTGCGGCCAAAGATGCTTCAACAAAGTACTGAGTGAAAGGGTTTGAATCAGTGGTGGGATGCTACCGATTTGGACCGGGTCAGGCAAACGGGTAGTGGTTTGGCAGCCTTGATTGCTGGAATGGGAAGCAACCTAAGCTGCCACGCCCCCAAACTGGATCCCCGGTCTTTTCTCCCATCGCCGGCATGTTTTTGTGCATGCGCAGAACAGTTTTCAGTAAACTGCACATGCGTAGCAATGAGCGGTGAGCACTTGTGCAAGTGAAGCAAGCAGGGCAGGTGCAAAATATTTGCAGGTATGCAAAATGCCCTCTCTCAGTAAACCAGTAGTAAACCGGTTAGGAACCCACCACCGGCCCGTGAATACTTATGCCAATGTGATATTTCAGTTTTTTCTTTTTAATAAATTTACAGACATTTCTAAAATTCTGTTTTTACTTTGTAATTATCGGATACTGAGTGTAGATAAATGAGAAAAAAATGAATTTCAACAACTGTAGAATCAGTCGGCAACATAACAAAATTGACAAAAGTGAAGGGGACATGAATACTTTCCGAATTCACTGTAAATAAATGCTTTCCCCCCCCCCCCCAGAAATAACATTTAACTCCCTTCCCTATACTTCTCAGCACAGAAAGGGGTTCTTACCCAGAGAAAAGAGATTCCTGGAATTCTCCAGCATGACTTCTCCATGGAGCGCTTTTTGGTCAACATCCAGCTGAGACCACTCCTCCTCGGAGAAATACACAGCCACTTCCTCAAAAGACACGACATCCTGAACAAGATCACGTTTCCTTATTAACAGATAATCCCAAAACAAAGGGGATAATTTTCTTCCACCAATTCTAGGAGATATCCAGTGAACAAAATACTGCAGAATTAAGATTTTTTCCTCTTTTGCCTGAAGGCATAACTAAATTATGTTTGATCAAGCTGGAAGGGTTTGGAACACCTTATGGTGTAGCTTAGATAGTTGGGTCTTAAATCCACTACTTATCAGTGACTCCCGTTCTTCCAAGGCTGGCCAGAGCAAATTACTGGCAAAACCGTTTAAAATAAGCTGAGTATGAATGATCTGAGGTCAAATTCATATTGCTTAGAAACAGCAATTTTATACATTGAACTCTAAAACAAATGAAATCCATCCAAGATTCAGGGGCCTTTTCCAATCTTTCTCCTCCTTACCTGAAGTAGCGGTTCAGCTAATCCTTCAGCTCCACCACAAAGAGGTGATTCTAAAAACTCCAAGGATAGCTTTCGATTCTCTATGAGAAAGAGAGAAATAATGTTTGTTAAAGAGAGAAACTCCAGAGAGAGAGATTTGTTAAAGAGAGAAACTCCAATCAAGAGGAGAGAAAGAATCAGCTAAATGTTGAAATCTCGCATCAGCCAGAAAGAGCTTATATTACCTTGCATAGCATCTTGACTTTGATCTTTCTGGAAAAACCGCTCTTGAGAAGATCTGAATGAATCTTTCCCCTCCTCAGGATACTCGGTCAAAGCTTCCATGGATTTCTGGACATGATGTGATACGAGAAACAAAGGAACAGCACAGAGATATTAATAAATTATCATACTGCACTTTCAAACTAGCAGCCCCCAATGTTCATTGCTGAAACTCAAAACAGAATAGAATAATTGCCCTAATACATTAATAATCCCAGAAAATTCTGCCAGAGAGAAATTGACAAATTCAGAAACATCCCCTTAAGAGCTGCCATGATTCCATTCTCCCACCTGCAACTCTTCTTGCGTGTTTTCCTCCTCCTGGGTCAGCAAGAAGCCTTCAGCCAGGGCCACCGCCTGGGAACTGGTCTCTGCTCCACACTCCCGCACCCATTTTGCCATCTCTGGGGGAAGGACAGCCAGCAATTGCTCCAGGAGCACCATGTCCAGCATCTGAGCCTTTGTGTGTTTTTCTGGTTGCAGCCACTGATGACATAGGTAATGAAGCTGAGTGCAAACATCTCGGGGACGGCTCCCCTCCTGAAACCGCACTCTCCTGAAATGACAGCATTGGACCACTGAACTATTGGATGCCTCTTCTTGGCTCTTCTGCCCAGGACTTGCCCCATTCTTCCCACAGCCCCAAGGCTGAGCAGCTGGAGGGCCTTTTCTAACTTCTGCATCTGCTGGGTGTTGTCCCTCCATCTTCTCTCTGGTCTCTAATCCAGCTCCAAAATGGACCCAAGGATCTCCACAGGTCTTTCTGTTCACAAGAGGTCTGGCCAAATTTTCCAAGGCAATTCAGCTCTCTTCCCAGACAAGATACTTAAGATTCCAGAAGAAGCAGAAAACATTTTGAACTTATTTATCTGATATTGAAAAATGGGGAGAAGGGGAGGGAAGAGAAGATTAAGCAAGAAATTTGTATGAACTCACCAAGGTGGGAGGTGAAATCTTATTAGTTAGCTTTTTTTGCAGAGAATTGCAGAGAACCCTCCAGTACAGGACTGTCAAACTCGCGGCCGAGGGGCAGGATACATCACGCACTGGACATGCCCTCACCCGGTTTAGCAAAGGCGGGGGGGGGGGGAAGCCCGATACATCTCATGATGAGTTTGACACCCCTGCTCCAGGATGTCAATCTCTATCAAAATATTGGAAAAATACATTTAAATGTTTTTGATTTCTACTTCCTAGTTTTTAATTAAAATTTAATTTTTATGTCTTCTGTATTATTATAAATTACTCTAGGCAGCAATTATACATAATGCTCCTTCTTACTATTTCCTGCACAACAGCCCTGGGAAGTAGTTAATACACTGTTTAATATCATTTATAGAACTGCATGGTCAAGAGCAACTGTTTGCACAAGCCAAATCATAAACGTCCCAGGTCACAAAAAGCAATTGACACGAGGGGCTCTCTAAATCCAATTAATAAGTAGATATATCAACCATGAATTTCAACATCCAGGCTTTACAAAGGCCAAACGTGACAAAAACACTGGCCTGATCAGGACGTGGTGTGAATGGTGCACCTCCTCTAACCTCTTCCTTATTTATCTGCCGGCACAGCAGTGATAGTGCTGTGATAGTGGGGAAAGGTGGGAAAGCAGGAAACCGAGTTCCAGTCTCTGCACACGTTGCACCAAACTCCTTGCACACGCAGTTGCAGCCTTGCACGCGAAGCCAGCAGGAGGGGCTCCGACCGCTCGCTTCTCTCGGCTTAAAAGGGGGAGGCGAGGGAAACCCCTTCTGAAAAAGGGGTCAACAAATATGCAGGAAACTGTCCAGGAGTCAAGTCTGACTTGGAGGCATAAACCTCTGTTTTGCAAAGACGGCCTCTCCTCCTCTCCTTCCCATCCAGAGTTTTTCCCATCGATCTTCTCTACAACCCTGGGGGTTTTTTCCCCCCTGGGGGCAAAGCGAAGGGTGCGAAGCTTTGCTTTCTCCCCTGTCTGACCCAGGGGTGGCAGGGGAACATGGGACCATTGTTTCCCGACCCCACCCCCTCCATCCCACGACTCCTAGCTTAATAGTTTTGCATGTCTCCATCCCGAATCACGTCTGGACCTCAAATCATGCAAACTTCTCCGCAGACTCTCCCCTTGCTAGACAGACTCACCCGAAGGTTCAAAGCGGGGAAGGGGGGGTGGAGCAGAACGGGATATCGTAGAGAGAGCGGACCACCTTTCAAGCCTTTTCTCTTAACGTGGGAAAGAGGCCGGCGCATGCTCAGTTCTCTTGTAACGCGGGCGGGAAGAGAGCTGCCCGGCTCTTCTATCGGACTCTCGTGGGAGCCCCCTAGAGGATCCTGAGCGCAATGCCTGAGCACCCTGCAAGGACGTCATGTTCCATGCGGGTCTGGGATGATGGGCATTAAGGTTCTCTAACTTTGCCTATCTAGAAAGGGAGTGGCCCCTCCGGCAGACGTCAATTTGTACATTTTTCTTTTTTTTTTTAATAGCTAAAAACCATCTGTGATCTTGTGAATATTGAGAAAATCTCTGGGGAGACTCAAAAATCGCTTTCAAGAGCAGCCTCCCCACCCCCCCAATACAATCAAAAGTTTCGTGCATTTTAAATTTTTACAGTTATAACAAAACAGAATTTGATAACATTTCATGAATAACCATACCAGTGATATTTAATTAAGCTTATTTAAATTAAATTTAGACTTTTTCCTAATCCCTTGTCCGGCCACAGAAAGGCAAAGACTCTTTGAAAAGGAATTTTTTTGAACCTTTACTTCATGGGCTTCCCCTCATTCTGGCTTAGAGGAATTCTTCATCCTGAAGATTTTTCCATGCAGGATACATTGATATATTTGTAATGAGTTATCACATATTAAGGGGCCTTTCATCACATAGGTTTCCATGATTTGTGAGTGTTATAATCTACCAATCCTAGAGACAATTCTCCTCATCTATCTGTCAGGAGAAACATAGTTTTTTCTTAATTTCATATTATTTTATTAGGTTTATTTATTTTTATTTTTTTTGGTTATCAATAAATCAAAGGTCTTTCATTCTCCTGAGTATCCCTAACTTCACAGAGAGAGGGAAAGAGAAAAAACCTATAAGTAAACTCCATTGTAGCCTCAGCAGTCCCATTGTGACAACACAATCCCAATTGCCTCTCTTATGCTACAAAACCTTTGTTGTTCCCTGCTTGATTTTTCAATACAGGTAGTCCTCGAGTTACGACCTGAATTGAGCCCATTTCTGTTGCTAATTAAAACATTTTCATAAGTGAGTTTGCCCCATTTTACGATTTCCCTTGCCACGGTTGTTAAGTGCATCATTGCATTTCTTAAGTTATTAACATGTCTGTGAAGTGAAACTGGCTCCCTCATTGACTTTGCTTGTCAGAAGGTCGCAAAAGGTGATCAAATTACTCCAGGACACTGCAACCATCATAAATATGAACCAGTTGCCAAACATCTGAATTTGGATCACATAAACATGGGGAAGCTACAAAGGTGGTAATTGTGAAAAATGGTGGTAAGTCACATTTTTCAGTGCCATTGTAACTTTGAACGGGCATTGAATAAACTTAAGTTGAGGATTACTTATATATGTTTATAACCAGGTCATGGTTTTGTCAACCATCCCATTGGTTCAGATATCAAAAGAAATGTCTGGGATATTATTTTACCAAAAATATATCTTTACTAAAAATTCATGTAGTCATTTAGTCACTTTATTTGTATGCCGCCCTTTTCCCTGGGGGGACTCAGGGCGGCTCACAGTTCAAAAGGGGTGGGGGAAGGACAAACAATTTACAACATAAAGATACTACATCATTTAAAACTCAACAGTCATACAATTCGAGTGTGGGTTAGAGTCTTAACCCCAGGCCAGCCGGGACAGCCAGATTTTAAGTGCGGCACGGAAGGTCTGGAGG